ATTAGTAACACTCATCCCTCATATTTTAACTGTTGCGTATATAAACATGGTAGGAAAGTTCAGATTAAGCAGGATATATACATATTTTTCTATTTGATGTTGTTAAGTGCCGTCAAGTGGCTCTGATTCATAATCACTCTGTATATGGTTTCTGGAGACTACCAACCTTGTGGTTAGCAATCCAATGCTTATCCTGCAATGTCACACAAGTTTGCTCCATTTGGACAAACTAAATTTTGAGTATAAGTAAACCAAAACTTAATATCAAATCCTCTACCATCAAGTTATTTTCAACTCCTAGTGACCTTATAACAGACCTGTAGGACAGAATAGAATTACTCCTCAATGTTTCCCAGACTACAAATCTTTCTGGAAGCAGAGGAGAGGCAGCAAGATGGTAGACTAGGCAGAAAGGCAGCATGGATCCTTTACAGCAAATATATGGAAAGCCAAATGAAACATTTGCAGATGTCAATCCTGGAATCCTGAGCTTCAGATGAAGGGTTAGTGAAGTGAACTGAATGCTTACTAGGAGAGAAAGCTGAACAGATGTGGCAAAAAAGGAGACCTGTGGTGACCAAGAAGAAGCAGCATGTCCATCTTAAGCTTATGTGAGCAGCTTCAGAGACAAAAAAAAAAAAAAAGAAGAAGACAACCATAAGACATAATTGGCATTGCAAAAACATACCAGTGGTTCATGGAGATAAAAGTGCAATTTTTTTATTGCTCACCCTGGTGACCAGAGGTGAGGCTAGCAGCCCCAGAGAAGCTCCTACTTTCCTGGCAGTAAGAGTTGCACAGGGTGAGTGTCACAGTTGTGATCCCCATTAAAGAAAGGGTAAGCTATTCGCATTGACCCCATTCAGTCAGGCCCTATTCCAAATCTTCAGAGGTGGCATTGGGCAGCCCTGGACTAGCCCTCACTAGGAAAAGCAACTGAACATATAAGTGAGGGAAATGGAGGGAAAATGAAACTGGTGATCTGTGCTGGTTAGCCAGGTGCAGCATGACCATCTTGTGTGGGCAATTTTGAAGGTAAGAGGGTGGTAGGTTATGCAAAGGCATACCACTTATTGGCAGAGAGACACATGTCTCATTATGCTGGTGACCAGAAGTGTGGCCAGTCCCTACTTCGTACACGCCCAGGAAAGCTCCCGCTCTCTGGGTGGTCATAGTCACATCAAAGGGAGTGGAAAACTAGCAGCACCAACCACCACACTTGCTATCAAGTGTGGCCTGTTCAGAAGGTATCTGAAAGTAAGAGGCCCTGCAGGATGCCTTCTGAAGCAGAAATACCCTGATCCCCAGCTGATTAGGATTTTGCACAAACTACTTCCAGATTGGGTGGCCAGAACAGACAACACCTACAGGAATTCCAACTAAGGTTGAGAGTGTTACAGTTTCATCCCATGCCACCCATGACATGAGGTCCTTGACTGGCAGG